TAATGTTTGCTTCTGCTGGCGTAACGACATAATTTCACTATCGGATTCAACTCCTTTACTTTTATAATGATTGATAAGTTGTTGGTTCTTTTCGTTAATTTGTAACTGCCGAGTAAATCTTTCGTCAAACACTTTGATTTCACGCTGATAGGACAGTGATTCTTCTTTTTTACGCTGAAGCTCCGCCGTGATATCTTTGCGGTCCCCATGATACTCTCTCATGTCTCTGTTTGAATGCGTTTTGCTGACTTCATAGAGGCTTTCTTTAGCTGTTTTGAGTTGAATTTCTAGATCTCTGCATTGATTTTCCGCTTTGAACCATTTCTCATTCAACTCGACACATCTTTCTTGCTGACCCTTCAGCGAAGCTTCTAAATATTTAATATGTTCTTCTTGGGTATTAATAAAGCTATTTAATGTGTCTTCAAGAGTATTAACACGATTTGTCAGGTCAGGTCCATTTGTCGCATACCTAGTCGACTCTAACTGTTTCCCGATTCTTGCAAATAATTCATGAAGTAATGATTTGTTTCTACGGGTACCATGTACTTGATCCGTCATTCTGTCGCCACGATTTGGTGGATCGGTATAACCTTGATCTTCATCCAAAAATCTAATGATTAACCTCTCACAATCACGGTTGTTCTTTTCCTTCTTGGAGCCTGACTTATTGACCGGATCGTCGTCTAGATCCTCGACCGAGTTTTTGAACGGATTCTCGGTTGCATTCTCGGCTGCATTCTCATTTGAATCCTCGTCCAAACTCTCCCCATGACTTCTACCTGGTTCTAAAGAATCGTCTTTGTTTCCTTCATCGTGTCTCTCGCTAATTCCAGCATCTAATAGTTTACACTCAAAGTTGCTTAGAAGTTCCGTCCCTCTAAGTTGTGTCATTGGCGGAGTATCGCTATCTTCCATTTCAACATCACTATCACTAGTACATGTCATATTCGATCAATGTCTGAATATTGTTATAATTGATTGTGGCAGGGTCTTGACTTCAAGGGGCATAAGTTTTAAAATGAAGAGAAGTGCTTATTATATTCGATTGTTTCGCAAGTGCTATTGGCGATAGTTCGGAACACAAATTATTACACCGATTGTCATACAACTCTCCATTCATTATTTTCTTTCCTTATATATTTGCTGTTGTTCTTATTTGTATGCTTTATGTCATTCTGAAGCTTAATCGAATTATCCAAATTAATTAATAATCCAAAACTTCGAGCATACTTATATGGGCAAGTCTGCCTACTCTTTTTAAAAATTATCGTTCGATAGATATTACAGATCCGTCTTATCGTGAGTGGTTATTAACCATTTACATTCCCCATAATCAATATCCAAGTTTGTTAAAAAGTCTCCAACTACTGGAACTCAGTCTTAGTTGGACTTTGGCTTGTTGAAAATCCGCCTCTTCTTATCCAAAATATTCAACGACTTGATTTTCATCCTCTCCGTCATCATCTTGAAAAAATTCCATTATAGTGGGATCGAACTTGGCCCCACTCTCGAAAAAGTGATACTCAACAACAGCGTGGAATCTAAAACAAAATATGCAAACTATCTCAAGAATGATAGAAGGAACTAATTCTTCGATATCTTTCTTTTTCGGTTCATCCTTAATCTGTCGAGCTCAGTCAATATATGATTGACTATGTTTACTAAAATGGATGACTGGCAGACGCAAAACCACGATTGCCAAGTACAGCATATACGTGCTGACATATCTTCACTCCCGTCATACGCGTCAATCATCCTCTTCTCCTTTGCGTTCCTCAAAAAATTCTTTTATATAACGCTCCAAACTGGAAATTGTATCAAGATAAGTTCTTCCAAGAGATAGTCTAGATTTGCCTTATTGTATAGTTCAAGTTCGTTCTTACTTTTCCCATCCAAATCCTCGATACATTTGTATATTTCAATAAAATACCTTTGCAGTGCACCGCTGACGATTAACTTTGTTGTAGGTCAACTTGATAGTCATATGTTTGCAATAGCGAACCTATCTCTTGTTGATCAAGAGCAACGTGTCTACCTTTATTTGAGCAAACTCTTTTATTAATGTCCTTTCCTAGCTGGACAGGATAAGTCTTGTCTATATCGTCCCAATTGACATTAACTTCTTCCTTGAGTAGGTTATGCTTCCTATTCCATTCAGCCGCTCTAGCCTCAGCATCTTTGTATCTTTGTTGCACTTGTTGGAATTCACAAAAGTACCTTCCATGTTTTCGTCTTATCTCTCTACCCTTACTTTCTCGCTCTCAGCAGCGTTTCGTGCTTCGCGCAAAGCTGATTCTCTAGCTCAGCTTTCTGATCGCACTTTGATTTCAATCTCGAGATCAACCAATGGATCATTGTGACTAGGTCCAGCTGAAAGTTCTTTGGCTTCTTCATTCTCAAATGGACAAGTTAGTAGTATCGCCAAGAACTTTTCGATATAACGGGTGACTTCATCCTTTAATAGATTATTCTTCTTCTGCAATTCAGCCATTTGTTGAATTCACGATGTAAAGAGTCCTCCGCGTGTTTGCGTTCTGCTTTTTCATTTTGATATAAGAGTTAAGATTATTACGCGCTTCACGAAGCTGTTTCTCTAATGTTTGCTTCAGCTGGCGTAACGACATAATTTCATTCTCGGATTCAATTCCGTAATCATATTTACTTTTATAATTTGTTGTTAATTTGTAACTGCCGAGCAAATCTTTCGTCGAACGCTTTGATTTCACGCTGATAGAACAGTAATCCTTCTTTCTTACGCTGAAGCTCCGCCCTGATCTCTTTGCCGTCTCTCATGTCTATGTTTGAATGTGCTTGGCTGACTTCGAAGAGGCTTTCTTTAGCTGATTTGAGTTGAATTTCTAGAACTCTGCATTAATTTTCCGCTTTGTACCATTTCTCATTCAACTCTACACATCTTTCTTGCTGACCTTTCAACGAACTTTGTAAATATTTAACATAGCATTAATAAAGCTATTTATTGTGTCATCAAGAGGATTTGTCAGGTCAGGTCCATCTTTCGCACACTAGTTCATCTCTAACTGTTTCCGGATAATTCACCGAGTATTGTCTGGTTTTGCGAGTACTGTTTACTTGATCCGATATTCTGCTGTTACGATTTTCAGGAAATGCGTTTATTTGACAACGTTAAAGTTGTGATCCGTAATTCTGTCGCCACGATTATCAGTAAGTGCGTTTAATTTATCGGTTTCGCTTACTTCGAATTATTGCTATCGTTTATTAGGTAGTCTGATATTTATTTGAGTGAAGGGATTGTTCCTCTGTATTTACCTATAAAATTAATAATAATTATTGGTTGAATTGGGAATTAAACGCAACATCTCTCTATTAGCAACAACGGAAACTCGATAAGTCGGTTTTGGCCTAAGTCGGTCAAACGTTTTTTTCAGTATTTAAAAAACCTCGATAAGTCGGTCGACATATAAGTCGGCCAACCTTCTTTAATGCTATATGTAAATTACACTCGATAAGTCGGCCTCACGTGACATTTGGGAACATCATTACTTAGTCGATAGATCATCCGATAAATTTTATTATTATTTTTACTTGTATATGTTGTATATAATACGCATAAGACAAATTAAAGATTCTTGTTTGTATTGTAAACAACAATTATACTTTTATTTTATACCACCAATTACTCGCTAATTATATTGAGTATATAAAAGTAGACAGTTCATTCGTTTCAGGATTAATAGACTTAAAATGGAAAATTGATAAAAAGAGAATGACTTCTTCAACGCAAACTAGCATGGATATTTATTTGGAATAATTCTACATTATCCTATATTATCCTATATTATTATATAAATAAAAATTTAACACATTGGTCACGTGGTTCTCGATAAGTCGGTCTACCATGCCCAGCCATGCATGGCCGACTTATCGAGTTTCCCTGTGTATAACGAATATACACAACAGATCGTACACAAATCACCATTTATTCCTCGTCAATCCCGAGAGAATCATGTTGCTGGTTATTTTGTTTTGCTTTAACTGTTCGTCAATTGAACAAAGTGAAGTAATCGTATGTATTTGTTGCGTTTTCTCAGATTATATTTACGGAAGATTTTTTCACAGGTACGATATCATTTGATAGACAAAAAAATATAGATGATTTCATTTACATCTCTGTACTGAGTCGCGTTAATGTCATGACTATTGTTTGTCGGCGCGCAATTCATTTCATGCGACGACAGAAATTAAAGTCACGTATTGTAATAAAACTTGTTAGACTATAAACAAGCTATTGTCAAGCATTTACTTTGTTGTATTCATTCGTAAAATAACCACTAAAGAATGCAGATATACGGATGGTCAATTAACATTGCGCGTCAGATACAGCTCATCGTGATATGTACAGTAAGATAAACTTACCGAGGTACCTGAAATTTGAAATCCGTACAGTCTATTTGCACAGGTTAAGAGACAATGGAGGATACATAATGTTTATGTCCATGGTTCTAAATACGCGTGATTTTTGTCGTCAATTCCTTAAAGACGGTTCGAATGAAACATAGAATTTACCCCATGTTATATCGAATTAAGTCTGTCTTGTAACTCGTACACGTCTAATTGATATACAGGAGCGTATTTAATCGACTAATTAAGGGAAAGATCGCTATAAATATAAGACGCCACAATCGAGTGATAGAAAGCTAATGCATTAACTTTTTTGTTATTATGGTGTGGGACACCTAAAGACCGAACAGTCCGAAATTTTGTTCTGCAGATCACTTATCAATCACATGATATT